CTTCTCCCGCTACGTTTTCCCCCAATTTTAATAGAAGTTTGTATTTTAAGGACGAAAGAGAAAACCACAGACTTTATTAAGCTTAGGGCAGAGATGGACCACATGATCACTGGAGCAAATCATTCGGCGGCTGTGGCATGGAGGTACAATAACATCTCATATTTTAAAAACTGTCGTTTGAGTTTTGTTTTTTCTGCGAAAACATGAAAGGAATAACCCGTTGTCTTCTTTTCTCTTCCTTGGGAGGAGAGTGAGGATGAAGATGGTCAGCCAAGAGGAAGAAAAAGGAGAAAGGACAGCGATGACCAGCTTCTGGAGCTGATCAGGGAGGACGTGAGGCTGCAGAGGGAGGCAGAGCAGCAGAGGGCAAAGGAGAGAAGGGAGAATTTTGACAGGCTTGCTAGAAAAAATGGTTAAGAAAGATTAAACATGGACATATAGAAGAAATATCTAAATAAAATCAGTTCTGTATTAAACTCTTTAATTTTATTTTTGTTTACAAATGTGAATTGTTTAATATTACAGGGTATCCGCTGGGTCTTGAAAAGTCTTAAAAGGTGATAAATCGGTTTTGGTCAAATTAAGACCCTTAGAAAGTATTAAAAACTATTATTACATCTTTGCTCAGGCTCAGCTTGTCGAAAGTATTTTCTCTGAATTAGCTCTCCAACAGTCAAGGAAATGATTAAAAAGCTAAATTAAACTTCGAGCTCCATCGTTTAAAGTTCCTTCTCCCTTCTGCTCAGCGGTTCCACGGTTGCTAGGCAATGGAATGTTCGCCGAGGGAGTGGCGGGAATTAATGAAGGCTAGGCCTGTCCAAATTCACAGCCGTTAACATCCTGTCTACTCGGCCGACGAAGAACGCAGCCCACATCGGCCGAGTAGGCTGGGTCCTTCGAAGGATGCAGACCCTGAATTGAGGCACAGCGATTGTCTGTCAGAAGCAAATGCAGGAGATATGTGTAGGAGAATGTCCGTTTAGCCAGCATTAAAAACTCCCATTTTAATCAGAAATCATACTTAAAATGTTTTTTTTTCTTTCATCCACACCTTTAAGTGATGATTTTATTTATTGAGAAAAAATCTTTCCAAATCAACCTGGCTCTGTGTGAAAGGAGACAATTAGTGGCTCCTTAAACCTTAAAACTAATGGGAGGGGGTCTAACAGCACAACGTAGAGTAACTCGGGTTGGTGCAGTTTGATTGGACAGACTTTTCCAAAAGCATGGTTCCTCATTTTCTCCCAACTTTTCAGTACCTGCCTTGTTGTGGTTCCTAGCATGCTGACCCGGTCTGAAAAAGCAACGTCAGTGACTTTCCTGTCACTGATTGTCTAGGGGGCTGAGTCGTTTGCTACAAAGCTTTCTGCATACACGAGCGACTTTTGGCTAAGCAATGTTGTTGGAAAACCCGTAACACCTTTGTTGGTAACAAATGCAGTCAAGGGAATGTTCTTCAGAATTTCCTGCTAGAGAGCTGAATTAATCGCTCCAACAAAGAACTTAAGAGAAAAAAAGACCTGAAAATCTCCTGGTCCTTTAGCAGTAAAGCAGCCCCAGATCAACATACTGCCACCACCATGCTTGACTGTTGGTAGAACTTGTAACATCGTAGCTCATCACCACCGGTGTGTGAATGTGTGTGTGAATGGATGAATGATACACTAGTGTAAAGCACTTGTAGTCCTTACTCTGAGAGGCGCTATACAAGTATGGATCATTTAACTTATGTTCTGAAATGCAATGTTATTTTTGCTTCAGATGTAAACATGATGTGTGTTGGTCAGTCATAATAATTTAGAGAGTTTAATAGAAAACAATTGGACTTTTCTGGTTTTCTTAAAGACGTTTTGCCTCTTTTCCAAGAAGCATTGTTGGTTCTAAAACTTGAGTTGGGAGTTTTAGAGGTTGTGGTCAGAAACAAACATGCTGATAAAGCTATAGAGGTCACTGGTGAGGCCTTTGTTATTGCTGATGAAGCCATCAAGGACACCATAGGTTCCTGGCCCTCCATCTATGCAAGTCCCTGTTTGTGTCACTGGTACTAACGATCCTAACGGGTCTCCAGCAAAGCCCACATTTGCACTGTTTTGGTCGCACTCCCAAGGTGTGAGTTTTGTTTTAAGTGCCTGGGGAGATGAGTCAAGATTGTGCTGTTGAAACGATGAACCTACAGCAACCCCCTCAGTTCAGAATTGTTTTTTCACGTTTCACATAGATGGCTTATCCCCACCCCCCCAACCATCTGTCTTCCCTGTCCAAAGTGTGTACATTATTGTCTTCAGTGACCTTTGTCCTTGAATTGTAGGTGGACTGCTGAGTCTTGACCTAACGGGTTGGCTCCTCTGTGCTGAGCCATTCTTTTGCGTAGCTGCTATTTAGTTTTTTCTGAAGTAGAGATCGGATATACCATGTTTCTGACCAACAGCAGTAGGCCTCCTACTCCCAACCCAAGTTTTAGAACTGAAGAAGCTTCATGGATGAGATACAAAACGTCTTCTAGATCAGTGGTTCCTAACCTGGGGGTCCCGACCCCCACAAGGGGGCGCCAAAGCCTCTCAGTGGGTCGCCAGGACCTCTCTACTCTAAGGGGTTAAAACTTAATTTATTACTTGTTTATAGCCTACATTTTGCTCACATTTTTTTTCATGAGTGAAAAGTTTACTGATATTAAGACAGGAAATAATTAGTACAGAAAAAGTAACACTTTTAAGAACATTTTGCTCAGCTCACTGTTTTATTTTCAAGTGTCAAAAGTTCATTAAAGATAGGACTGGTTGATTAATCACAGCTTTTACAGTAAATAATCTAGTATAAACAGTAATATACACATTTAAGTACATTTTGCTCAGTTTATTTTTTATGTGTCGAACGTTTATTGAAAGGAATGATTGATTTATCAGTGTTTACAAGAAACAATGTGTTCAGAAAAGTAATACAAACTGTCAAGCACATTATGCTCTGTTTGGTTTTGTTAATGACTTTGTTCTGTACTGGAGCCTACTATTACTGTTATCTATTGAATCAAAGCATATTAAAATGTGCTTGAACAATTTTATCATTTCTTAATATTGTTAAGACTTTGCTATCACACCCAAAGCGGCTAAAACTGACGAAGGGTGACCAACTTTTGGGGGCTCCCAACACGTCGGAAGGCGACGCTCTGTGCCAGAGCGACCCGCGGTAAAACGGGCATTTCAACTAAGTTTTACCTCTAACCTCTAGCAATTTTACCTACCCCTTCCCCTCACCCCCATCCTAACCTTAACCCAGTTTCTCGTTCTAAACTTCTCGTTAACCGTGTTGAAGAGGAGCAACACAACTAGAAACAAAGTTTTGCATGTGCAAGTGGGTTGAGGTTAGGATGGGGATGATGGGCAGGTGAAATAGCAAGAGGGAAAAGGTCACAATACGGTAAAATGTCCATTTTACCGCGGGCGTCAGAAAGCGACGCTCTGGCACAGCGCGTCAGAAACAAACGCTTGGTCATCCTTCGTCAGTTTTAGCTACTTCGGGTGTGAGAATGTGTTGAAATGTGAGACCGTGAGTCTTTTTTGTTCAGCAGATGCTGTGGCTTTGGAACTCTATTATTCAACTTTTGCTTTTTCTCTTTGTCTTTGAACTCTGACCACAACCATAACAGAGTGACCTTTTGTTCTTTTTTCTGGGTTATTTTGCTCTTGAATGTCTTTACACTGTAAAAAATTAAATGAAATAAAATTTAAAAATCGTCAGCCTAGGTTGCTGAAATTCCTCTATAAAATTTCGGCTAACACACATTCATCCTTTACAGTGTACAATGTTCAAACATTTTACAATAAGACACCGGCAGCTGAGGTTCCCAAACATTCCACTGTAAAATTATGAGTTATATGTTTTTGTCTTTTGTGGTACACCCTGTTTAAAAAATCATGCTAACCAGCAGTTGAGGTTGCTGAAATTTTTACCATAAAATTACAAGTGATGCATTTATTTTTACCTTGCAGGTCTGGCAGTAATCTGGTCTAGGTGTGGCGTGTGACGTCAGGAGCACAGCTTTCCAGGTAATTTCATTAATCACAGCTAATTATGACCCAACAAGTAGGGAGATTGCTTTCCCACATAGGGCCAGTTTGTTTAGCTTGCTTTCTTCAACGAAACAATTTTTTAACTACATTTTTATTTCTCACGTTATCTTTGTCTGATATTATAATGCGTTTTCTGACTCAAGAAAAAAAAACCTGTCCGTCTTCTAATCACCTTAGTTGTTTACATTTTGCTTCAGACATACCTCCCTCTCCAAGTCCTTTTGGGACTGCATTGCTACAAAATCACCTAAGATCACCTATTCTCATTCATCAAAGCAACCTACAATTGGCCCACAGGGTGAGCAGCATTCAGCCATAAATCTAGACATGTCAGATGAAGCAGTCTGCAGCACTTCTCCCACCAATTATGTCTCAGGGAGTTGTGATACATGTAGCCATTCTAGTCAAAGCAAAGGAGGGACTTATTATGGCAAATCAGGTCATCCAAGTGATCTCAACCACTTCTGCTTGCCTGAATAAAAGACAAATGGCCGTATGGAGATATTAGTAGTTTGACTTTTTGTGCTGAATGTTGGAAACCTTTATTGATAAGCTAAAACCCTAATATAGGTTAGTGTTCTCTAAGAAGATCTAGGCTGGGATAAGAGGATCTCCAGCACTCGGACACAGCAGGAAGCTCAGAGGATGGTCTGTTTCCCCCCTCAGCCTCTTTTACAACTTCACACGAAATCTATAATCAATGTAGCACTGCAGGAACAGCAGGGAAATGTGTCAGGTTATGCATACTGATGATGGGCTGGGAGGATAATTTTAAAATTGAGACATGGCCGGAGGGTGTGCTGCCTCTGATCTCCACCCAGGATGCCTCAGAGAGATCCTCGGGAGGATGTTAAGGAGCACTGACTTGTGACGATCGCCATCTAGTGGTTCTGGTCCAGCTTTGCAGGTGGATCACAAAGGTGGAGCCACACGCAGCTGGGTGGGCGGGGCCTATAGGGGCCCAGGAGTGCTGCTGCTGCTGCCGCTGCTGCTGCTGCGCGCGCGCCTCTGTCCGAGCGTGCGTCATTAGGAGGGGGAAATCCATCCAAAGCCACGCGTGTGTGAAACCCAGGAGCTGTTTGGGACTTGTTTTGACGTAAGTAAAAAGTTTGTGATTATTTTATCAGCGGGGTGAAAGCAGCTGCAGCAGCAGCGTGGCTTCCTCTGAGCCCGGAGGAAGCAGCACATGGACCGACCAGAGGCGGAAGGATCGTCCGGCTGATGCAATAAAACTTTCAGGCAATTCGGAGAAGCTTCTCCCCACATGAGCAGACTTTAAAAGAGGCGAAAGCGGCGCAAATGTGCAACAGGCTCCTGTCTGGAGGCAGCTGTGGAGCCGTTGTGTTGATGTTTACACTTTTAAAAGACCGAGCTTCAGCAGGAAGTGAAGCATTGCCTTTTATAGGAGCGCAGCGCTTGGGGTGAACCCGCATGAACTCTTAGTTTAACTCATGAAATAATCTAAATCTAGAAAACTTTTGTAGTTTTCTTAAATTTATCTTCATCAGACTTTGTACTTTGAGTAATCTAAAAATAAAAGTATGAGCTAAATTTATGACTTATTTATTTATGACTGAGATTTATGGGCCTCATCAATGTGTGCTACTTTAAGTTGACTAAGGACCTGAATATCAGCAAGGGACAGATTGAGGCAGAATTTCATGTGTCTGTGACAGTGGGAGCGTCCTGTCGCTGTGACCCGATTGATCATGCGCCCTGGCTACTTGGTCATGGCTGTTTGGCTGACTGGTTAGTGTGTGTGACTCTCACTCTGAAGTCCGGGGATCGAATCCCGATTGGACCTTTTTTTTTTTAATATATCCGCCACAGATCTCTCTGAAGAACGTTGGTTACGTATTGTAACCCCAGATTCTATGAGTCTAGTCGCAGCCCTTAAGCGAGCTGCTATTGGAAGGATGATCTCCGCATCAGCCAATCATGAAGAGCTTAAATGTACGCCCACCAATAGTGGGCCCCCTCGTGGTATATAACCGCAGTGACCCCACTGCTCGCCTCCAATGGCTCTTATTCCATCATAACCAGTGGGGCCAAGTGGCTTAAGGGCTGCGACTAGACTCATAGAATCTGGGGTTACAATACGTAACCAACGTTCTATTTCGTCTAGTCTTAGCCCTTAAGCAAGCTGCTATTGGAATAAAACGCAGCTGGATGGGTTTACGCCACACTGGTTAACACAACCAATGGACACACCCAATCAATCTCCTTTAGTGAGGAAGGTTCAGCCTCAGACCAGGCTTAAAGACTGAGGCAGCCACGATAAAAGAAGGGCCCCCACTAAAAAAACATCATCCACGAGAGGATGAAATCCATCTCAGCAAGGCCAATGAGGCGTCATAAGCATTCATTCAGCCTGCTGGGGTCCAAGCACTGAACGAGTGATGGAACCTGAAGACACATCCCGTAAATAATAACGAGTAAAGGAACAGGGTGAAGCCCATGAAGCAGCCTGACAAATGTCTTCCATCGACACACCACTGTGGAGCGCCATCGAAGAGGAAATCCCCCTGGCTGAGTGAGCCCTGAGTGCCTCAGGGGAAACCTGCCCCGATGACGTGTAAGCGAGGGAAATGGCGTCACACAGCCAGTGTGAAAGACGCTGGGCCGTCAGCGCCTGACCAAGGGAAGACTCCCTGTAGTGCACAAACAGGTTTTGTGAACGACGAATCCCTGAAGTGCGTGACACATACCGTACAAGCGCGCGCACCGGGCAGAGAAGGTGAGAAGCCGCCTCCTCCTCAGAATTATGGGGAGGAGGAAAAAGTCCAGCCAATGAAATTGACCTGGACTTGAAGGAAGCATTAATGCTTTTGGGCACAAAGGCTGGATTGGGGCATAAAACAGCAGACCCGCCATCTTCCCGGATCCTGAGGCATGCGGGAGCCACTGAAAGGGCGGTCAGGTCACTCACTCTCTTAACTGATGCTAGCGCTAGCAGCAATGCAGTTTTAAGTGACAGGAACTTGAGTGAGACCTGGTCCAAGGGTTCAAATGGGGCTTTGGATAAGCCGTGCAGAACCACCGTTAGATCCCACTGGGGAAAAAGCGGGCGGGACACAGGCCTGTTCCTCCTGACACCTTTTAGAAAACGTTTTGTGAGGGGATGATTGAAAACAGATCTATCTCCAAACCCTTGATGACAGGATGAGATGGCTGCAGCATATGTTTTAATAGTGCTGAAGGCGAGGCCCCTGTCCATCAGTATCTGCAGAAACGACAGGACATCCGCCAGCTGGCAGGAGAGCGCTTGAACATTCCGCTCTGTGCACCATTTCTGGAAAGCTGCCCATTTAGCAGCGTAAGACGCAATGGTAGAGGGCGCCCGCGCACTCTGAATCGTGGCGACCACATCATGCGGCAGCCCAGAAGCCTCTAAGCGTGACCGCTCAGCGGCCAGACCCACAGCCGTTGGCCTATTTCCGGAGGATGTTTGATTATCCCATCCGCCTGGAGAAGGGCGTCCGCCCTCCACGGGAGCCTCCATGGGGAGCCGGACACTAGCGCTTGCAGGTCCGGAAACCATGACGCGGACAAGCGCCTGGGAGCCACCAGAATCACCGAGAGCCGTTCCGACCGAATTCGGTCTAAGAGACGGGGAATCAGAGGGACTGGTGGAAACGCATAAAGGAGCGCTCGAGGCCAGGGCTGGTGTGAGAAGGCGTCCGCCCCGAGCGGAGGTCCGTCCCGGGGACTCAGGGAAAACCACAGGCGACACTGAGCGTTTTCGCGAGCCGCAAACAGATCCACAGACGGTTCCCCGAACCTGATCCAGATCTGTGATATCAGTGCGGGATGCAGACGCCAGTCGGAGTCGCGGGGTCCCCCTCTCGACAGGATGTCTGCCGCTACATTCAGGACCCCCGGAATGTAGATGGCCCTGATGGACAGCAGGTGGACATGTGTCCAACACAGTAAATCTGTGGCGACACGCAACAGAGGGAGGGATCGAACTCCCCCTTGGCGATTTATGTAGGCTGCCGCCACCTGGTTGTCTGTGTGAACTTCGACATGACGGCCCTCGAGAAGGGCAGCAAAGTGTCTGATCACATTCCTCACTGTCATAAGCTCCAACACATTTATGTGCTCGTGCGTGTGGGAGGGCCAACGATCCGCCACCGTATGGGACAAGCACGTGCCCCCCCACCCCGACAGTGACGCATCCGTAAACACAGATACGTGTGACGCAGGACGTCCGATGGGAACCCCGTGTGAGAGGATGCAGGGGTTCCCCCAGTGAGCGAGGTCCCCGCCCACTGAAGGGGGAATCCTCAACATACGTCTCTTCTGACGTATCGGGTGCACCCGGAGGCGGGTGAACCAACGTTGCAAGCGCCTCGTGTGCAGCAAGCCTAGCGGTACCACAGCGTGGGCTGCGGACATCATGCCCAGGAGTTTCATGACTAACAGGGCTCTCACGATCTTGCGGGGTTGTACACGGGAGATCACCGTGGAGAGATCTGCCGCTCTTGCAGGCGACAAACGTGCTCTCATCAGGGAGGCGTCCAACTCCACCCCGAGATACACAGTCGACTGGGATGGAAGAACGGAGCTCTTTTCCCAGTTTATAGAAAACCCCAGGGTCGACAGATGCTCTGTCAACCTCCTGGTTTGCTGTGACGCCTCGTCCTTGGACCGAGCGCACAGGAGAAGATCGTCCAAGTAAAATAAAACCCTCATTCCCTCCGTGCGCAGTGGCTGCAGCGCGGTCTCCAGACATTTGGAGAAGGTGCGCGGGGCTAGCGAGTAGCCGAAAGGGGGGCGATTGAACTGATATTGAACTCCCTTGAACGAAAAACGCAGAAACTTCCGGTGATTCGGAATTACTGGTATGTGGAAGTATGCGTCTTTCAGGTCGATTGACGTGAACCAATTCCCGGGGCGCACATATTCCAGGACTTGTCTCATCGTTAACATGCGGAAATGCATTACTGCTATGGAGCAGTTGAACAGGGACAGGTCGAGAATCGGTCTCATTCCTCCCGACTTCTTCGGTACTATGAAGTAGCGGGAGTAGAAGCCCGAGAGCTCTTGTCCGCGAGGGACTCGTGAAATAGCGTCCTTGGACAGAAGTTCCCGCAACTCCAGCTCTAGAGCCTGAGACTGTACTTGCGATGTGAACGTCGTCTCCACGATCCCATTGAAGGGAGGTGGAGTGACCTGAAAATGAAGTGTGTGACCGCAATGAATGGTGTCCGAAATCCATTTGCTCATGATACAAAGGCGGCGCCACTCGTGCGCGCGTTCCGACAGAGGACGCGTGTGCGCGGTCACGTGAGCAACGACTGAGGGTTGTGCATGCGCCCTTACCGCCGTCGCCCGTACCAGAGAACTGGGGGCGACCCATGGAGGGCTGCGCTCGAAAGGGCGGGTGCGAAACAGCTGGAACAGGCTGGTCCGCACCGCGGAGCGTGGAGTCCGAAAGTGAAGGACGAGTGGGAGCCGAGCCTGTGCACGGGGGCGACAAAGTGCCAGCGGACGAAGCCGCGCACTGTGCCGCCGCGCGTGGTCGAGACAGCGACCTGACATCTCGCCCCACCCGACGATGGGGTGAGAGTTGGGCCCGGCCGGATGCTGGGGCCGGAGCGCCAATGGAGCGCACCCTTACGGTTGGCCGTATATTATGACTGCCTGCAGGAACATGTGTGCGTGCAGCAGTGCTTGGTGTGGGGAACATGTGTGAGAACTCGGCAGGAGATTCTGCGGAGGACTGTAGGATTGTGCTCTTTGAGTGACATGTTTTGGGTTTTATTTCAAAACCAACATCAACATTACAATCATGTACACACACATTCCCCCCAAAGAGTCACTTCCGTGGCTGCTTTCGGCGAGGCTCGTGCACCTGGGACTGCCAAGACGGCGTCTGCTGGCCCCGCCGGAACCGTTGCCCGCCATCTCGCTGGTCCCGCTGATGTGGAGCCGAAGCGGGAGGCCGGCTCCGTGGAGCGGACGGTGCAGCTGGGCGTTTGAAGCTTCCGCGCCGTTCGTCCCATCCTCTGGCAGAACGGCCGGAGTGCGAGGCTGACCGAGGGTGAACCAGGTCTCGTACCGTAGCCGATAGTTCGGCCGTCTTCTGAGCCC